GACCACCTGACTGCAGCCCGCCACCGTGCTGAGGTCCGCCGCCGCCGCCAGCCACGAACAGAGGGCCAGGGCGAGCAGGAAGCAGCACGGGACCATGAGCGGGGGCCGACCACTGGCCAGGCGCCACAGAGCTGGCCCAGACCCCACTCGGGAGTTGCGGCGGCCCGTGCCCTGGGACGACTCGGTGGGCCGAGTAGACATTTCATTGCTGCCAGGCCGCCTTGTCTTTCTTGCAACCGCAGGAAGTACACAACCAGTTGCCCCCTTAAGCACGAGGCTGCTGACCTCCCTGAACATGAGGATGAGGATGCCACCACGGAAATTAGCCCCAGTCGCGAGCATTGGGGGCTGCAGGCGCCATGGCAGCGGACTGAAACAAGAAATGTTCCCTGCGCTGACCTCCAAGAGGCCCTCAAGTGAGCACAGACGCAAGTGGGGTACAGCCCAGGGAACAATCTGGCGACCTGGGCCAGAAAGGCACTTGAGAGGAGGAGAAGGAGGAGGGGGAGGAGGAGGAGGAGGAGGAGGAGGAGGAGGAGGAGGAGGAGGAGGAGGAGGAGGAACAGGAGGAGGAGGAGGAGGGACGACAACGAGGACGACGAGGACGACGAGGACGACGAGAAGGAGGAGAGGAGGAAGAGGAGGAGGAACAGGAGGAGCAGAGGAGCAGGAGGAGGAGGATGGAGGGGGGGGGAAGGGAAACGGGGGGGGGAGGAGGAGCGACGGGGGAGGGGGGGGAGGGAGGGGGAGGAGGGGGTGGAGGAGGAGGCGGAGGAGGCGGAGGAGGGAGGGAGGAGGAGGAGGAGAGGAGAGGAGATGCAGGAAGAGGAGGAGGAGGAGGAGGAGGAGGAGGAGGAGGAGGAGGAGGAGGAGGAGATGAGGAGAGGAGGAGGAAGGAAGAGGAGGAGGAACAGGAGGAGGCAGAGGAGAAGGAGGAGGAGGAGGAGGAGGGGGGGGGGGAAGGGGAAACGGGGGGGGGGGGGGGAGGAGGAGCGACGGGGGAGGGAGGGGGAGGGAGGGGGAGGAGGGGGTGGAGGAGGAGGAGGAGGAGGAGGAGGAGGAGGAGGAGGCGGAGGAGGAGGAGGAGGAGGAGGAGGAGGAGGAGATGCAGGAGGAGGAGGAGCAGGAGGAGACCACTACCCTTTTCCCTGAGAGCGCCTTGCCTTCACGCCGAGGCGTTCCACAAAGGGCCATCGCCTCCGGCCCTGCCTCGCCCTCGGCGGAGGGCTCCACTTCGAGCTCGAATGCAGCCGCGACCCTAATGCGACCTCTGGTTCAAGCTCAGGCCCCCCAGCTTCCCAGACCTCTTCGCGTCGTGGCACAAATCACGACGGGAAGATGTCTTTTCACTATTCTCGGCCCCTCGGGGGCCCTCACCTGGGCCCCAGGAGCGCCAAAAGCCAGTCCCAGGGGAAGGGGTCCAGACCTCTGGGGGTCGACGCTGCGACAAAAATCACGACGTCGGGGGTCTGAGTTCCCCGGCAGAGCCCGCGCGGAGTCTACTTCGGGGGGGCCCGTTTCGTGCCCCCGGGGCCCCTGAACAACGTTTGGTCTGCGGTCGCATGGCTCAAGCAGCGCTTGAGCGACGGAGGGGCGCTTCCGAGGCGATCTCAGGCACGAAGCAGATGCGGCGGGAGGCAGGGGGGGCGCGGGGGGGGAAAGAGACCGCGCTCACAACATGCAGTCCTGGTGCGCGAGTGCCAGAGGTGCCCACGGAAGACAAGCCACGTCACGCCATCCGTGCGAGGGTCGAGCTCGACTGCGACAGCGGAGACAGCTTGAATCGAAGGAGAACTAACGGTGTAAAGATAATTTTTCGAAGCTCCGCGCGGATTCCTCGGATCGGCGCTGGAGCTTCCCAGCGGCCCCTCTGGCGCGGCCCCCAGCGCGCTCCGCGCGCCAGGAATCAAAAATACGCGCGGATCTCCCAAAGTTTATCCCTTTACCGCGTTCTGTTCCTCTTTTGAAGCTTGAGTTGTCCACGCGGTGCCAGAGACCATGGCCCACGTCTTCGAGGTGGGAACTTGCCCTGCCCAGTAAGGCGTGGGCGAGATCGCCTTCGCATCCAAATCCGCTCAAAATCAGCCCCTGGACCCCGAGGCCCACCCTTGATGGATCCGTTTTCGACGGCCCTTGGCGCCCGAGAACGGTCCCCGAAGGCCGCAAAAGGTGGAAAACCCGCTCGTCGTCGTCGTCCTCCTCCTCCTCCTAAAAAAAATCCTCCTCCTCCTCCTCCTCCTCCTTCAGTCGGGCATGTCCCTCTACATGAGGAGTCTCCCAGAATAGTACAACAATAGCCTGGGGACGGTGTTTCGTTAATTTTTGGATGATGTTCGAGTGTTGCTGACTACTGATTGTTTTGTCTCATAGTCCTGCAGGAGGACATGCCCGACCTAACACCCTCCTGCTGGCCAGAGTTAGTGCTGTGCTGCCCCAGACCCCCAGCCGGCTCCAACCACGACACGCTCGCAACGGCGGCGGCTGGGCCCGCCCGCCAGGAGAGCACCGTGGCGGCTGTCGTGCGGTTCCCGCGGGGGTTCCTTTGACGTGCGAGGCACCATGCGCGACGTGCAGTGGAGCCCCATGCGGAGAAACACCCTGCTTGCTTTAAGTCGGGCCTGTCCCTCTACAGGAGGAATATTCAAAAATAGTAAAAAATAGTCTGGGGACGATGTTTTGACTATTTTTGAACATTGTGGGAGTATTTTTTGAATATTTTTCAGTTTTCGCCCAAAATCCCCCTGTAGGGGGACACGCCCGCCTTAATGCTTGCTGCCAGGGTGCCCTGGTTTTTTTTGGGTGTCGATGGTTTTGCGATGGAGAGCGTGCGTGACGTGCCCACACCAGAAAACCAGTGGACGTCCTGGGGTCGCAGGGTGGGTTTCTTGTGGAAGGTTTCTTGTGGCCGAGCCCCTATTGTACCCTGTGCGACGTACACGCGAAGCCGCTCCAGTGTGGGGCTGCAACATGTCGTGGATCCATGTGGGGTGTTCCAGAAAAGGTCCTGCCTTCGAGGATCGAAGGAGCTGTCATCTCTTCCTCGGCGGAATGCGGCGGAAGGGCGGCGGAAGGTCGGCGGAAGTGAAGCGAGGCCGCCTCCGCTGGCGGAAGCCAGCGGAAGCCAGCGGAAGGCTGGCGGAAGGCGGCGAAAGTAAAATATGTACCCCCAAGAGATGAACATGTTTTTGGGTTCAGGGTTTCCGGAACCGCCCATGTGTCGAAAAAGAAGACGCCAGACATATAAACTGTTGGCGCTCCGCGCGGATTTCTTGGATCCGCGCTGGGCCCCCCCGGCGGCGCTTCCGGCGCCGCCCTTGGCGCGCTCCGCGCGCCAGGAAGGAGACTCCAGCGCAAATCCAAGAAATCCGCGCGGAGTGCCAAAAGTTTATGTTTATGAATTTTTGTTGCTCTTCTAGTGTTAAGTCGGGCCTGTCCCTCTACAGGGGGAATATGCAAAAACATAGTACAAAAATAGTCGGGGGATTATTTGTTGAGTAATTTTTTGGGGCATCTCTACAGTATTTTCTGAGTGTTTTTCATTTTTCATCCAAAACCCCCCTGTAGGGGGGCACGCCCGACTCAATTCTAGTGTGACGTCCGACCACCACGACGCGTGAGCCCAGGCGCGCTCGCCTCGTGCAGAAGCACGGCGGGATGCCTGACGGCCGCCTTCGGCCTCCGAGGGGGTGCCCTCGCCGAGCCCCCGGGGGCCGTCAAGGCACGACTCGCGACGAGAAGCCAGCCTCCTCCTCCTCCTCCTCCTCCTCCTCCGCCTCCTCCGCCTCCTCCGCCTCCGCCTCCTCCTCCTCCTCCTCGTCCTCCTCCTCCTCGAGACTTCCGGGGGCCCTGTGTTGGACAAATCCACGCGCTGTATGCCCGGGAGCCCCCCCTGCGATCTTCTCGGGGCCCATCCAGTTCGGGACCCCTTGGCCGCCTCCGACGTCGTGGAAGGCGAGGTCCGCCACGAGGGGAAGAGCGTGCGGTGGAGAGGGGTCCTGAGGAGGAGGAGGAGGAGGAGGAGGAGGACAGAGGAGGAGGAGGAGGACAGGAGGAGGAGGAGGAGGAGGAGGAGGAGGACAGAGGACAGAGGACAGAGGACAGAGGAGAGGACAGAGGACAGAGGACAGAGGAGGAGGAGGAGGAGGAGGAGGAGGAGGAGGAGAGTTCGCCGTCGTCCTGTCTCCCGGGGCCCTCCTCATGCCCGTGGACCACCAGAGAACGATTCAGGAGGCGAGGCCCCAGAGATCGGCCACTCGCAGGGGGGGGGGGCGGAGGGGGAGGGCTTCTTAGAAGCACCCCTGCTTCTTTAGGGGCCACATGCGAACCTACCCCTACCCCCCACGATTTCTGAGGGGGAGGGTGGGGTTCACTTCGTTCGGGAGCTCTCGAGCGAAGTGAACCCCACCCTCCCCCTCAGAAATCGTGGGGGGTAGGGGTAGGGTTCGCATGTGGCCCCCTACTGGAAAAGCGTTCGGTGGAGAGGGGTCCCGAGAGTGGTCGCCGTCGTCCCGTCTCCTGGGGCCCGCCTCGTGCCGTGGGCCACCAGAGAACGATTCAGGATGGGAGGCCCTAGGGATCGGCCAGGAGGAGGAGGAGGAGGAGGAGGAGCAGGAGCAGGAGGAGGAGAAGGAGGAGGAGGGGGGCGGAGGGGGAGGGCTTCTTCGAAGCACCCCTGCTTCTTGGAAGGCGGGTGTCTGATAATTGTATATAGATGTAAGGCCAGCGCCTCCTGAGAAGCAGCCTCCTTCTGAGACGCCGTCCCCCCTCCCTCCACCCCCGTGTGCGCGCCGCCAAAGAGCCCGGGACCCGTTCGCTTCAGGATTTGCTTTCTTCATGCCAGGCAGGGTGAGGGCGGACGTGGCCCGGCTCTTAGTTCGAGCTGGCTCTCATGGTTCCTCCTGCCACCACTGGTACAACGACTCTTCCTCTTGCCTATTCCCCTGAACATTGTCGCCTTGTTTGCCCAACGCTGCCGCTGGAGGCGGAAGCTGCCAAGGAGAATGCCAGTGAGGAGACGACAGCCACGAGCACTACTGAGGAGCGGTTTTATCATTGTCTCCCCTTACCCAATTGTATTCTGAATGGTCCCCTCCGCTGTCTTGCTCCTATGTCCACGCCTGCTCCTACTGGTCCTGATGTGAGTTCTCCTCGTACTGCTCTTACCATCTTAGTGTTCCGACGCCCGTCCTTGCTAATCATCATTCCGTTTCTGCTTTGGTTCCGAGTGTTATATCTGTTTGCCGCTTCAGGCTCACACATTTGAAAGTACGCCGCCGGTTCTTTATGTCGCGCAAGTGGCACCCTGGTTGAAACTATTATCAGCGCTCTGTGGCGTAAAGAAACCGTCGCGTCATCACATCATAGTTCACATGTCCTGCCGCTCAGATTGTTCGTCATCGTAAGCCTTCACCGCTCACCTAATTTCAGCACGGTGGTCATCACGATGATCGGGGATCCGTGCACTCAGATGCCGTCACAGAGGGAAAGTTCAAAGAGCGCTCTTACTCAAGGTACCGTATTCGTCAGTGCAGTCGCCAGCACATGCCTCGAAATTGCCAGCACGATTCGAATGAAGTGCACCAGTAGATGCCCAGACCAGCTGTTTGCCCAAAGCATGACAAGGCAGCGCGGAGGTGGTTGATACGAGCAGCAAACGGCGAATGCAGTACTCTCTGCTCTCTGCTCTGCGATCTCTGCTCTGTGTTCTCGACTGTCTATTCTCCGTTCTCTACTCTCGATTCTCTACGGTGTACTCTTTACACTATGGTGTCTACTCTCTGCTAAGTGCTCCACTATACCGTCCCTGTTATTCGTTAGCCGAAGCCTCCTTAAACCATATATAATGTGTGATCTGCAAATTCGTGTGTATACATAGATTCGAATGTGTGTACACATGGCTGCATATACTCTTGAATGCATGTGCATGCAGATGTACGTGTGCATATCCATCTGCCCCATACCATCCACTCGTGCTTCTCTTCCCTCTACTTTCCATGCCTGGCTCTTTACTCTATATGCACAATGCTCCCGATGTCTTGCTCTTGGCGCTCCGCTCTCTGCCCTCCGTTCTCTACCCTGCACTTTCTTAGATGTCTGCGTGTCTCAAGGTCCCAGGAGCCCGGTCGCAGCTAGGAACTCCCCAGACCTGATGGCGTCATAAAAAAATCAGGACGGGCGGTTTTTGGCTATTTTCGCCCTCTAGAGGTCCTCGCCGGGCCTCGGGACCGTCAAAAACGACTCAGGACGAAAAACCGGTCCCGGGGAAAGGGTCGGGACTTGCGGGGACGCCGTCCTGAAAAAATCAGGACGTCGCATGTCTGGGTCAGGAAACTGGGAATCCGGGAGCTGGGAATTTTGGGGCCCGGCCTCCTTCCAAAGGGGCGTCCACATGTTTGCCAAGTCTTTGCAAGTTCTGCGAGGGCCATCAGTGCGGGCCTGGATCGGGGACCAAGCCCATGAGAACCCAGCAAGCGGGAGCTTGGAACCCGGCAGGCACATGTTCGCCAAATCTTGACATCTTTCCTCGAGGACATCTTCAGTGCAAGCACTGATTCGGGAAAGGCCCCGGGTCGCTATCGAAACGAGCGGCGTTGGAGCTGGTCAGGTACTCCAGCCCCCCGCCGACATAGCACTTCAACAAGTATAGAAGAAGAACCAACGCCATGGACTTATGTCGGGCCCGTCCCTCTACAGGGGGAATATTCAAAAATAGTCAAGAAATAGTCCCGGGATTATTTTTCTAGTACATTTGACCATTTTGGATTTTTTCTTGTATTTTTTATGTTTCGTCGAAAATCCCTCTGCAGGGGGACACGCCCGACTTAACCATAGACACAAACATGTGGCGCTCTGCGCGGATTGCATGGGTTCCCCCGGGTACTCCCATACGTTCTGCCTTTCTTGTGCCGCACGGGCCTGCCGCCTAGCTCACAACACGTTTGTTGTTCACCGCTTTGCCTCAGGCGGCTGGTTATTCTGGGCACTTGCTGAGCGCTCCAGCCTAGGCGCTTAAGTTTGCCGCACGGCTCGAAACGGAGAAGGGGGGCAGGAGGGCGAGCCAGGCGTGCTCGCGCAATACCTGACACCCTACCCCTTCAACCCATCCCTTCTCGTTGCGCCACGATTCTCTCCATCCGCCGATGGGCGACACAGCGGACCCGGACCCCCCCAAAGGACCCCTTTTACCGTCTCATGCGCAACCGGGAAAGGGGAGCTACGCACACTAGAAGAGGGGTCGGTCGGTCGGCCATCGCTCAGATGAGATTCCATCGACTGGTGCACGACTCGAAGACTCTGCATCGGGCATCCTGTGGGCATGCCTCCGCCGTGAGCGGCCCGGAGCACGCATGCTGACTGTCTTCTCCTGGCCGAGAGGTCAACGAGAGGAGGAGGACGGGCTGGTAGGAGAGCCCAGAGGAGGAGGAGGAGGAGGAGGAGGAGGAGGAGGAGGAGGAGGAGGAGGAGGAGGAGGAGGAGGAGGAGGACGGAGGAGGAGGGAGGAGGAGGAGGAGGAGGAGGAGGGGGGGGGGGAGGAGGAGGACAATCTGGGTGTGGAAGGAAGGAGGAGAAGAAGGAGGAGGAGGAGGAGGAGGGAGGGAGGAACGAGCAACGAGCAGGAAGGATTGAACCAGGAGTGGGAAGAGAGGTTTCGGAGGGTGTACTCTGGTGGTGCCTCTCGGTGGAAGAAAAAACGACCCAACATAAACTTTCGGCGCTCCGCGCGGGTTTCTTGGATCATCGCTGGACCCCCCTCTCTGGCGTGCTCCGCGCGCCAGGGGCGACGCCAGAGGCGCCTTCCCCCTCGACCTCGTCGCCGCCCTACTCCTGTCCTCGTCTCCTCCCCTCGCCCTCGTCGCCGCACTCCCCATCCTTCTCCTGATCCTCGCCCTCGTCGCTGCCCTCGCCGGGAAGCCGCCGAGGAGAACACCACCGAGGAGGCGACAGCCGAGACTGCCTCCGAGGACCAGCGGGGGGCGGCGGGGGGGAGCCTCGCCTGGGCGTGTGCATTTTTCTCGGCGAGGTCCGCGCCAGAGAATCTGGGCCATCCGGAGGCCGCCGAAGAGAACACCGATCGGGTGCTGCTAGAAGTGCCCCTGGCCCGAGGTGGCCCTCAGGACTCCCGAAGAGGCCCCCAAGGCCTCCAGAGCAGACCCCACCAGGCCCAGAGGGCCCCAGGGGCCCCAAGGGGCACCTTTGGCCAGAGGCACCTTCGGCAACCCCGAGGAGGCGACAGCTAGGACTGCCTCCGAGGACCAGCCTGGCGTCGGGGCTTGGCATCACCCGGGCGTGTGCGCTTCTCTCGGCGAGGTCGGCACGGGGGCCCCCAAACAGGGTGGTGAACACACCGTACGGTGAGTCGGTGGGGGGATTCGAGGTCACCGCACGGTTTTGGGACTCGGGTCGTTCTCCGAGGATGTCTCGGTCGACTGGGGTCTCCGCACGGTCTGTCACCGCACCGCTTCGGGGCTCCAAGTCGGCGCCAGAAAAAGTCGGGACCATCTTCCCCCTGGAGGGGGGGGAGCAGGGAAGGAAAGACGAGGAGAGGAACGGAGGAGAAAGAGGAGACGGAGGAGAAAGAGGAGGAGGAGGAGGAGGAGGAGGAGGAGGAGGAGGAGGAGGAGGAGGAGGAGGAGGAGGAGGAGGAGGAGGAGGAGGAGGAGGAGGAGAGAGGAGGAGGAGGAGGATAGGAGGAGGAGCCCCCGCAGTGGTGGTCTCTGCCGCCGCGTGGATCGCTCCACGACCCTCCTGGAGCAGCTTTCGGGGAACGAGAAATGGCACGAGCATGAACCCTCGGAGGTCCGCGCGGAGTTCTCGGATCCGCGCGGGCCCCTCCTCCTCCTCCTCCTCCTCCTCCCTCCTCCCCTCCTCCTCTCCTTCCTCTCCTCTCCCTCCTCCTCCTCCTCCCTTCTCTCCTCCCTCCTCCTCCTCCTCCTCTCCTCCTCACCTGCGACATGGACATTGAAATCGGGAACGCGGGGGGGGGGGACGTCGCTCTGGCTCTCGAAGCTCTTGGCTGGACGCTGGTGTCGAACACACCGGTGTACCACGCATCCAAGGCTCGACCCAGGAGGTCCAGTAGAGCGCAGAGCTCAGGCGAGTTCGCTGCAAGACGCCTCTAAGAGGGCCCAGCTCGGATGTGGGGACATTATATCGGGGAAGGGGAACGAAAAAGTACGTAAACAATAAAAACTCGGAGGTCCGCGCGGATTTCTCGGATCCGCCCGGGACCCCCTGGCGCGCCTCCGGCGCCGCCCCTGGCGCGCTCCGCGCGCCAGTGAGGGGGTCCAGCGCCGATCCGAGAATTCCGCGCGGACCTCCGAGTTTCTATTGTTTACATGTCATTGATCGTTCCCCTAATCGTGTCCACCCATCCGAGCTGGGCCCTCTCAGAGGCGTCTTGCAACGAATTCTCCTGAGCTGCGCGCTCTCCTGGGCCTCCCAGGACAAGCTTCGGATGCCTGATACACCGGTGTTTTCGACATCAACGTCCAGCCAAGAGCTTCGAGAGCCGGAGCGACGTCACCCCCCCGCGTCCCCGATTTCAATGCTTTCATTCTCACGCAGGCCGTGGCCCGTAAAATTGGGCGGTTGTTTCAAACGATTCGCGCACGTTCGGATCGAAGGCCCCCAACCTTGAAATTGAGGCCTGGGTTTCTGTAGCGCTTCAACACATCTCAAGGGTTTGTGTTTGTTGAACAAGAAGCGCAGAAGTTCGAGCTCAGCCGCTGCCGTCAATTGTTGCTCGAACTCGCTGTCAGAAAATGAGTATCCCCCGTTCGGCCCTACCATGCCTCACCATCCCACTCCTATGAGCCTTCCATTTTCCCTGCTTTCCACATCGTCCTATCCTCGTCTTGTCTGCTGCAACCGTTGCTCGACGCGCGTCGGGTCGCAATCCTCCTCATCCTCCTCCCCCTTCCCCTCCTCATCTCTCCTCCCCATGCTCCCTTAAATCTTCCTGGGCCAGCTGGAATTTGCCATTCAGGGATTCGTTGCCGCCGCCGCCCCTATTATTCTGCCGCTGTTATGTCGAGGAGCTTCGCACTCAATTTCAACGCTCCCGATCATCATTATCACCGCTCGCAGTCTCGGCCATGGGTGTATGTGGCGCTTCTCATTCTCGTGCTCATGCACCCAGTCCTCCACATTCCTCCTCCTCCTCCTCCTCCTCCTCCTCCTCCTCCTCCTCCTCCTCCTCCCCCTCCTCCTCCTCATCCTCCTCCTC